CTCGCATTCGTCACACGACGAGTGAACATTCCATCAGAGCAAGGGTTGCCCGAGGAATCATCCAACACATGACAACGTGATGTGAATCCCATGACTGAGGGATGAGTGGCCGTATATCGTACCTAAGTGGGCATTAATCACATTGCTGATGTGCCGTTCGTAAACAAAATGTTTCGTCCTTGACCAGCAACCCTTGAATTTCGTGGGAGGCGCACTACTGATGATCCACAATAAAGATGAATCAGCTGTACAGTGATTATCACCTTTCAACGTACACTGACTTTATTCGCAGGACAAATTTAAGGCTCTCTTGTTTATCTTTAGCAGATATTTTCACGTGATTTTTACTAGGGCTCGACTCAGTCTGCAACAACAATTAGCAGAGGGACGCACAAGACTGCACAATCCCCAAATAACCCAAAAGTGATCAACAATACTGGTTTCTTTGTTCATAGTCACACAACTCTTGTTTGAACGGTCGTCCTCCTGTTCTGGCGTAATTATTCCGGTGGGTCCACGCCAAAGGGAAGCACTGGACTCGAGTTTCACTCTTATTAGAGCTCATCAGCAGTGCATATCCAATGGCCGCACTGGGATTTAAAAAAAACTGCAATACTGGTTATAACAGAGAAGTCACACTAGTTAGCAATTGGAAGTGCAGCTTCACCATACTATATGAGAAGGGATCTCACGAGATGTGTGTGACCGACACAGGTTTGCTGGAAATGTAGACAGTGGTATTCCTCTCGAGAATCACTTGCAGTCGTTCTTCTATACCACAAGCGAACGCGTCTTCAAAAGTCAATCGCTTCTTAATACATGCACAGACAAGTCCAAACGTGACGTCGACAAATAAATCAATAATAATGTGGGAGCCAGTCACGCAGGTACAGCACTAAAAATGAGCATTATCTACGGGAAGGCTTGTACATGGTCACATCAAAAGGGAGAACCAAATACCTGAAGACAAGCGATTTTCATTGCTAGATTACACGTTATAATAACTTTGGTTGTTGTGTGCGTTAACATTCACGTATAGATTTACTTGATATAAATTCTATTCCTGATACAATCCTCTGAAGTCTGCAAAATCTAGTCTTGAGTAACTTGTTGTAACTTAGCGTCCGTTATTCCGACTGTATACAGTAATCTTTTGCGTTTTCCAAAAACAGCTTGTTGATGATTTTTAAAAAAAATTGCGGCGAGTTTAAAGTGCATTTTTCATCGAGACGACTAAGCGATACATGTACCATCCAGTATGCCTTATTTCTTTACTTCACGTCTTGGATATTGAGCCGGTGCGTTTGAAGAATATTGAGGTTCTAGCAAGGGTCGCATCGTCATCAGGGGCAGCCTTGATAATTGTACTATGAAAAACAAATGGTTGATTTCAACTTTGCAGTGACTTCTGCTCAAGACTGATTGATGTGCTGCCTGCACTACCATCCATTACCAGTTAACTACCTCCAGTTTGCAGTGACATAAACCGGCCAAGATCTGTTTAAGATTACCAGACTCCAGGTATCATCCCCATGTGACAGGACATCATTCTCTATAAACTACGCTATCCTCCAGCAACACACGGATACCGTGCTTAAGGAGTGTCACCCCCTTTTCATATATGGATAATAGTAATATTGTCAGATCCTCACCAGCAGGACATGAGACCAACTTACACCAGGTGTGTTTCTAGAGCACATGGTCAGTTGTGTGAGCTTTTATGCTGCAGTTTACATATTTCGAATTCAGTGTGGCGGATTGTGGCAATCTAAAAACCGCTCGGTACAGTCATTTATAAGGCTTATGAACTAATACAGCCGTTGTATCCCCCAAGGGATGGGCCATTAAGTAAGGTAGCAAGGAATCATTCAGGTCCCTTAGTGATAAGCTGACATCACAGCTCTTACTCTCTCTGGCTTATCAATAGTTGTGGTGTCCCACGTTTCACAGAACCTTCTCGGTGCAGTACATTAGAATCGACTGCCAGGGGGATAAGCAAAAACAACCTGTCGTAACATTCGTTAGCATTCTTATGTGAAAAGAAAATCTAATCAGGTTTAATATAAACGACTGGCCTGAGAAGTGACTGAGAAGTTTCACTGCTAAAAGGACAGAAATCTATACCCTTGTCCATGCTTGCTCCAAAGAGGATATAGGTTGCCAAGAAAGTTTACACTACAGCCAAAAGTCGAACCCGATTGCCTACGGGACCAGTCAAGAATCCAAATAGTTCAAGCAATACCCAGCACTGCAACCTTGACTGATGTGTAGTACACTCCTCTCAGTTCGCAAAATCCTTGTCATATCACCCACGATGGAGCAAACAACACTACTGTCCCAAAACGTTTCATCCACCACTTACCTGATGTTTGGCCGTAAACCATTCTGAACCACACTTGATATACTCATAATTTGGATGGTCTCTGATGTTCGATGTGTGGGCTGAGTTGAGACAAATGACGGAACAAATGCAAACGCGTGTAACTGCGTTGCTCGCAGCTGACCATAGTTATTTTACATGGACAAGGATATCTAGTGACTGGCTAAACGGTTTCAGCAGTTGCCTGCGCTGCACATATCTCGTTGAAGGCAGAACTATCTCCATGATCGAGTTCATATCGATCGTAGAACTGAATTCATAATAATTTGTCTGGAACACCACATAGACAGTGTATACTTACCTTCCGAGTGCATGATTGTCGGAAGTTTTCATTATTCTTACAGTAGTTCGGTTAAACCAAATCTGAGGGAGTATTTTCGCCTCATTGTACATCCGAACCACGGCCCAGCTCAGTCTGATTCGACCAGTCCTGCAAACCTTTTCAGTGATCACCTCTGTGGCCCGACCTATTATTCCAAGTTTATTACTCGGGCAAAGAATTTCATCGACTCATCTAAATGATCGCCTGGCACAACAGAAAGGATCTTGCGACATTTTCCGTGGATTTTCTGCTTTTCCCATTTGCCGTTACCCAATTATTCTACATCAGATCACAAATAAATAGCTGGATTTTTTTCCTGGTAATGCCATCACGAACTGCTTTTATTGCCTTGCGAAACGGGAGAGATAAATTCATATATGGGAAGCCAGTTTGATCGTTGAACGGTTGACGGAATTCACGATTTTTTCCGAGTGACACTGTCTTCTTAAGCAGCATTCATGGCTGTAGCCATCAGTAGACACCGAATGTAATTTAATGTAATTTACTTTAATTTAATGTAATGCAGTCATATGACATCAGTCGTGTCATGCCACAATGTAAGTGGATTTGTCGCTGAACTTTAGGGATCATGTTGTACACAGCCGATGGTCGGATAGTTTCTCCTGGATTGCTGCAAAAAGCCTACCATGTCGGTATCGTGGACACCAGTAACGAAACCTGGTGCCTAACTGCCGTAAAGCTATTCAGAATGAAGGTCCCGATAAATTATGAAAACAAAGGGGAGAAGTGAGGACATTGTAGAATGCTTCATGTCCTTGGATAAAACCACCGAAGATATCGAAACAAACGTATCTGAGTATATGGTCGTTGGCTTGTTCGCTGAGCTGGGCAATTTGATTGCAAACGTTTCATCACCAATCGAGGTGACATCATCAGTGCGTAGTTGTGCGTAGCGGTGTGTTAGTGGTTGTGGTTGTGGTTGTTGGTATCTGAGTATCACCATCAACGGGTTTCGCCTAACGTACCGTGCGAAATTCACCCAACATAAGCACAGGGAACCAAAATAAACAAGCGTTAGCTAGGAATTTCCGCTAGGAAGCGGCAGCAAACTGACCTTTGGGATCCGTTACGTACCATGCGCTGAAGGGTTCTTTAATCAAGGAAGGCGATGAGACCCAACATTGTCCAACATGGCAGAAGCCGCTTTCTTTTGGCAGTTCACATCATTNTCCCTTTCCATAACAAGGGACGCAAATTCACATCCCGGAAACGACTCGCCCTAAATATTCACATTCAACCTATATGGAGAAATAGCCCCCACCACCACCGAATCTGCTATAGCTTAAATGACTGTCCCATCAACGGGATCGGAAGTAACTGTGGTACACTATCGAGAGTGTCTTCATAGACGGTCGAAAGGTTGTGACAATAACTGCGTGATACATCTGTTTGCAGATCATTGTCTATTCGGACACATTCGCTGCAAGTGAGTTTGTGGCACTTACCTGTTGGTTGATCAATACATCTAATTTGGATATGTGATCTCGTAAACTCCAAAGTCCCACAGAAATGTTCACCAGAGGATTTGTAGAAACGACTAGTTGAAAGTACTGTTTCTAGCATCTGTGTAGCAATTAAAAGTTTGGTTTAAACTGGTATGATGAGTTCCTCTTTGTGTTTGAAAGCTCACTGCTGTTTATTGATGGCCGAAGACATTTCTGGCCAGCTGCAACCTTGTCACACCCAAACGCTCTGAGAACTACGACAGGCCTTCACGTGAACCCTTATCTACATCGGTCCGCTGGTTGAAAAAAATAGACAAATTTAAGCCTGTTGTCAGCGCCTTGTTACTGGATGACTAGTGAACTCCAAGAAACTTAAAAATTTGACCAATCTGGATTCGAACGGAATGTATCGTAAGTCAACCGTTCATGCTTTCTCTTATTCTATGGCATAACGTCAGCAAGTCAGGACCACCCGACCTAAACGCTGCACTGAATGTTGAGGCCTGAGGTTAATCGCTGTTATTGTTTGTGATGGACATTATTCGTCCTACCGAAAGATATCTTCCATCTCTTGCTTTGCAATACTATTGAAATAAAACCCATTCATTCGACGCAATAGTGAACATTCGAAATTTATTGGATATATCGCTAAGCTGTAGAGCAGCGATAGTGTGAAAACCATTCAAAATCAGATTGTCATTTGCAGTCAACAGTTATCAGCACAACGCGGTGATGATCGTGTTTGTGTGTATTGTGTAGGGAGAGAAATGTGAAACGAGATCGAACGAAGCGAAAATCGAATTTGAGCTCTTCTGCCCAACATTGTACCAGTTTATGTAGGCATTGTCGTGTTAGTTCCCGAAGTAAGTAATGCATTCTCGATTTTGAGCGTTGTTGGCTTTTCCGTACTGGGAGACGGCTTCAAAGGAGTGCCGGGGATTACGGGATCATGTGCATGATACTTTTTTTGATATTCCGAATAGTCGGAGTCGACTTGATCTTCTTCTAAGTTGTTGGTGCTTGGTTTGCCATGCTGACATGAAATTGAACTGTCTTCTTCCTCTGGAGTTAGCTGACGTCCAATGCGAAACCGGTCCGTGGTAGAGGGTTCCAGATTGTCTAACAGTGCGGAAGAATGCACCATCAGGTTTGACATACTAGATGCGGAATAACTCGTCGGTGGCATTGTTCGTGGAGGTGACATGTACGGCGCTTGTGTCACCGCGGCCGTCTTCGTTATACCTGGATCCATGTCATCAGAAGGGGTGATATTTGAGAATAATCCAAATCGTTTGGTATCTAGATTAAAGGGTGCATGGTCACTACCTGCCGTTTGATCCAATGGATTTATACCGAGACGTTCACTGACTGGCGGGAAGGCTGAGAAATATGGCGGAGAAGGTGTATATCCCGTGTAGTAGCTGCCTGAAAACGGATAGGAAGAAAAAGGGTTCGCCGAATACGCTGATGAGCTATCCAGACCATCAGGCCTTTGGTCCAAGGAATTGCTCCCAAATTCCCTTGGTTTTGAAGCGCTGAGTTGAGGGCTAAGGTGTTCTGAAGAAGGAAAGAGTAAACGATGACGAACAGTCTCGTATCCGTCTCTATCAGAATAGCGGTAAAATGGTAGTCCCAGGTCTGGTCGGCATGTACGTGGAGATCGGTGGGCGCTGTTCACCAAGTCAGAAGGATCTAATTCCTTGCCATGGTTCTGATGCGTAACAGATGGTGATGTCGAATCATCAATCAGATTTCTCGTAGAGTACTCGGTAATGAGTTTGTGATTTGGTTTAATTTCGTCACTGCAAGTGCGACCGGTCAGTATAGATCGGCTTTCGTCGGGATACTCATTGAGAGACGAGGATTCGGAGCAGTTAGAAACATCGGTACTCATCGGTCCCTCATTGATCCTCGCCATTCGGCACCGAGCATTCGCAACAAGACTGTCCTCTCCAGCTTCAGTGAGCGAAGACCCCAGGTCTAATTTTTGTCGACTGTAGGCCCGAGATGATGGAGGGTTGGCTGGAGTGGACCTGGATGTGGAATCCGATTCAACTGTCTGTTGGTTCATATTGACGTGACGGATGTCCACGTTCGGACTGGTGGTCTCCAGCAAAGAGACGGATTCCTTGTCTTTCTGCGCTCTTTTGCACTTGTAACGGTGGTTTTGGAACCAGATTTTTACCTGGATAAAAATAACCAAGCGGTATTTTCTGGTTATTATCAAATCGGGTTTGTCTCACAAGATAACTTACAAATACGTATGACGGAGCAGTTGTACCACTGTCCGGCGAGGTCAAATTAAGTGAAGACTGTTCCTCTAATTGCACGAAATTTCGACATCGTCAAAAGAAGTGTCAAGCTGTATTGTGTCTTATGCGTGCTGCCTTTGTACAGCGAGTGTCACATGAGTTTGTCCTTAAGTGACACCAGTAAGTGAACTTAATCTCATTCAGACCGGCACTGGAGTTCACAGCCAAATCAGACTGTTCCAACAATACTGATGTTCATTGGGTGTTGCGTGCGCAATATGGTCAGTTAGTTTAACATGCACGCAGGATATCAACATATTATCTTCGTTGACTGTTTCACAGAACTTCAGTGTAGTAGACACCTTCAGCAGTAGACACCTAAAAGATTGCACCAACTTGTAAACGGCAAGTTTCAATTTATTTGCTGGCTCAAGACAGATAATGGAATTTCCAAAGTCCTCAATCTGGCGTCGCACCCCTTAACTACCTGGGACCTGAAACGTAAACTAGTCCGTCCGATCTATGTAGCCGAGCGTATTCTGAGAAGTGAAGTAGACAAGGGTTGAATTACGATTCACGTGCAAGTCTACGTAGGTATTAGGGGGAGATCTTTATCCCCAGGTGGCAGCTCACTTGTTTACTTTGGTCTCTCGGAGAGTTTTTGTCGGAACTTAATAGCGTGTCTCGACCTAGGGATTCCAGTTGCATTCATCATATAAAAGAAATATCTGCTCACCGCTACTTTTGGTCCGACCTTCACATATACGGTGAGCTTGAAGAGTATGTGGTCTAAAGGTATCCGGATTGTGTATAGCTCTCCCTGAGAGTAACCTATCAATACAGGACGTTTTAGTAAAGCCAAAACGATAAATTAACTTGTTCGTGAACACGTAACCAAATATGAATGTGAGAAGACGCAAACCAGTGTCATGCAGTATGACACGACTAAGCTCACCTGTGTAGGAGTCAGGCTGATAATTTGCGATAAATGCTCTCTTTCTGGTGCTGACAGGTACTTTTGTTGCTTGAAGCGCCTTTCCAACTCGTAAACCTGGGCCTGAGTGAACAGAACACGTCGCTTTCGCCGCTGTGACAGTCCACGAAATGGAGAGGAATGATGACCGTTGCTGTTTAGATGATGTAACAATTGGGGTATCTGATGGGGGTTATGATGGTGATGGTGAAGTTGATGCCCAGCTGGCCCGTTTGGACTGATGGATCTGGTGGATGGCTGTTGCTGACTCGGATGAATACCACCCACAGCCACAGCCGCTGCAGCTGCAGCAACAGCAACAGCTTTCTGGTGTTTCTCGTAGGCCAACATGGCTGCATTGTATGGTGTTCCATGTAAACCGAAAGCAGAGCTTCCTCCAAGGCACTCACTTGCTTCGCTTGAACGGCGTCCACTGGTAAACGAAGGAAATGAAGGGGCATTTGTGGAGACTGATGGACCGGCCAAAACTGTGCTGTTCAACTCAGGATTTATCCCGGAGTACCTTGCGTTGCGAGACGAACTTCCATTGATTGAGCGAAAACCGCTTGACACTGTAGGATTCGCACTCGAGTGTGGGTTGGCGTGGGTAAACGAACCGAAGTTCGAGACACCAAATTCCTGATTGGAGCTGGCCAATCCGTAGCTTCCGATGTAATTCAAGGACGTTGCTCCGTTGGCTCCAAATCCGGTGCTAAAGTTTGGACTCAAGTGACCGGGATACACTCCAGCCATTGCAGCATTCGTTGCACCCATCAGGCGGGAGACTGTGAAAGCAAACGTGACAGAAATAGCTAACTAAGCAATCGGTTGTTCGTTCATTCCAATAACATACAAACTTTTCGAGGGGCATGGCTTGATGTTGGCGCAATTTTCATCCCCTCTGTTAATGTGTTGGAGCTGTGACTAATACGTTAGGCCAGTTGATCGTCAGGTTTTCCACTACCTAAATGAAAATAACGGCGACAAATGCATTCTAGCTCACAACGTTCACTCCATCAGCTTACTAACATTATCGGCTCGACGTTTTCCTTGTTTTTATACTCATATAATCCGCATCGGTGTTTCGGTAAGGCATCGGGTGCGTGGTTCTGTTCAATTCTAGTTTCAGTTTAGGCAGGCTGACATAATTACAGCAGTTCTTTGCAGTAGAATACGCAAAGGTTCATAGTGTCGTGGCAAGCATCAGCTAGTTACCGAGCCACCGCCACGTCTACTGGGCTACTCGCACTGTCTCAGCAATTGGTTAATGTTCCGAGACAGCCAATAAAGTCGTGCGCCCTTTGTTTAAATGCTTTCTCTGGACAGTGACAAGTGGTACCACATTGTAAACCTTGTTGGTTGTGCGGCAAACTAATACTAAAACCATTGGATCAATTCCTGGGATCAGTGATTTCCTTCAGATTCTCCGTAAGGCCGTGTATCAAAATCTATTTCATGAACTCAATGACAACCATGTGAGATGCAAGATTAGTACAAAACCCAAACCGCATGAAAAATAACGCCGCGTGTCTAAATGGTGAGGAACTAATCGTGAATTTTTACGCCTCACTTCTTCAACTTAAGGAGTAGTATCAGGAAATCCGCAGTGTCACCCTTCCGTTAATTTCTTAGCTTATGGTGTTATTGATAAGACAGTACGAGTGGAAGCAATGTTTTTTTTCAGCTAGCGGAAAAGGAACACACCTGAGCGGTCATTACTGCTTGTAATCCCACAGAATCATCTTGGTGGATGCAGTTAGACCTTAAGTTCGTCACTACTTTGGGGCCGTTGTGGATTGGGTTTGTTCCAAGGGGTCGGTCATATTTGGGAAGTGTTCGTTTTCAACCGCCAGAATCGTAAAATGATGAGAGAAGCTAAAACTCTAAAGAATTATTCAAACTAAACTATGTTCCTCTGGTTTTTCATAGATGAAAATACTCACAAGGTTGCTGAAAACTCTTAAACAACCCACGGCCGGTTTTACCCTTCTTGGGGCTCACCAGGTAGGCACAGCCCCCGAATTTCCGTCAACTTTATGTTCTACTTGAACACAACGTTATGACTCATAGATGTTCACCACGAACCGATCCATTTTTTCATGTTTATGAGCTTTTTTATAATGGGTCATCTAAAATAGCCACATTTTATACGCATTTCCTGAATTCGTGAAACTAAGTATTTTTCATCGTGGGAAGTAATTCAAGTCTATTCCCGAAAAGGAACATTTCACGGTTTCCTGAGACAGCCTTTGACCACTTCTACCAAAAGCGACATAACTGATGGGTCGGATCCGCCTTTCACAACCTTTCACATGTTGGATACTCGGCTCTGTAATTTTGAGCTTCCGAGCTGATAGTGGCATCCAAAACTGCTTCAAACGCAAAGGCAAACTCCCGAAAGCTGAGTATACAACGAATGTTTTATTTTTGTGGCCGGATACTTGATACCCAGGTTCCGGCTCAAGTGCACTTGGTGAACATAACACTCACAACCAGTACATCAGCAATATCTCTGTATCGCAATCAGTAGGAAGGGTTTTTCATCTCCATTGAGATAATAGAAATACCTATTCTGTAGATATAGTTCATATTTGATAAAATTCGTTAAATTTCCGGAACAGAAATCAGGAATTACGAGGCCCAGTCGATTAGGTTTGTTATATATCCCGGGGGATATATATATATATATATATATCCCGGGAAAATTACACACTGGAAATCAGGGGTTTTTGTTATCCATAACTATCAGTGCAGTAACAGACCATTGTTTTGGATAACACTTTTTTCCCAGAAGGAATTTTCCCGGCTGACTCACGTTACTGTGAGTGAAACTTTCTGAACCAGCTAAGGATGTTTTCAGAGCCAAAACACTTGATCAGTCATACTGATCGATTAGCTGCATTCTTTATTCTTTGTAAAAAGCTTATCTGTAGCTTATTTGCATAAATAAACACGTTGTTTCAGTAGAAGAGGTTTTTCTGCTACTTGATTTCTTCTGACAGGGACTACACTGTGGAAACACACTTTATTTGATCTTTTCCCGGGTGGGGACCTCTAGTTAGAACGGATCAAAACTATTTACTTTACTTCAGACAGACTAACCTTCGAGGTCGGATACAAGCGATCAGGGTGACCACTGGACACTAAAACTGTTCGGAATAATCATTTCCAAGTGGTCCCGTCAGACCTGTCAGTAACTCCTGTATTGTTACCATTCTATTCGAAATTGCAGAAATTCTGTGAGTTGAAGGCTGGTTGCCAATCTAGGTAGCTGAGGCGGCTGATGTCATCGCACGATAGGTGTTTTTATTTAGTCATATCTACTGATAGGTAACTTCTGCTCCGTCACATCTGGGATAAAGGTGACAACTAAACTAACCGATATAATTGAAGTGATGGGGTTATAGATTAGACCATTTGAACACGTCATTGAAGTGACTGCATTGCTACACAGGTCGTGTGCTTGGACCACACAAAGGAGGCACATTGTGGGAACGATGCAGTTTTTTGCTGGAAAGTACATATGACAAGGTCAAAATGATCGAGGCGCGCCAAATTATTACGTGCGGGTAACGGTTTCGTGTGACGATCAGCTATCGAAGCTCTGACTATCGTCATCGATCGGTGTACATTTGCCCTCCACCGTTAGTGCCATCGTAGACATCTTTGGTAAATCTCATAAGTTGTTTGAGGGTGTTGCTGTGTGAAGATTCGCGGACTTCCAACGTATCTTTATTTCCGTAGCTTAGCGCCATTCGAATGGTGGCAGTCATCAGCCCGGAAAATCCTTGGCTTTGTCACCTCCACGTGCCCAAACCTCATCCACAGGCCAGCACATAGCAACAGCTGCCTGGGTATGTTAATATCCAGTCAGGGGCTTGTAACAGCTGTAAGTGGTCAATTATGGACAACGATATCTTCGGCGGAAATAAATGTCTAAAGGATTATCAGACCTTTCAAAACTGGTGTCCCTACTACCCCCACTTTGTGACCGCCACCCGGTAAAAGCGAATAAGCATGGGGTGAGTAGGCATCACGTAAACTCTAATCATGAGGCAGCACTGCCCAATGCGACCACAAACCAAACCACCAACCAGTGTCACTGCATTTGAGGAGTGGGGTGATTATCTTCCACACTCTGTTGCGTGCGACCGTGCAAGCTAAACGCTGGTCAGGTCAAAGGTCACCTGTACGCGCCCAACGGAAATATCACATTCAGTCTTAATCTACAGAGGACCGATGGAAAGGTCGATTTCACGTTAGTTGGGATGCTCGGTGCAGTAATCCACGAGTGAGTTTCCTCTATAATCCCTGCCTCCCAGGTTTACGCTTCACTTTAGAAGCGTTCACTTGAAACCCATGACAAAGAACTGGCTGAATTTTCTGCTGGTGCTGGTGATGGTAAGGGTACTGCTGTCTGGTAGAAAGTACCGGAAGTAGATTCCGTATATTGTCAATCAAAGCGAATCGATCCGTTTATAATCATCTATTGTAGAAAGCGGTTAGGAACTGCTCAGGGTTGGTGATAGAGGGGCCTGTGAGCAAGAGAAAAAAGGTGACAAAGCACTAACCGCCAGTGCAGAGAATAACACCACAAGCAACAGCGACAGTCTCAATAACACAATCGCTCTGGGTATACTGTCAGTCAAACGACTGACTTTTGGCTTTGAAAAACAGCTGTGTGGGTGAAAATTAACATGATACTGTGCTGGAAACCGCAGGCATGAGGGTATGCATGAGCAAGATGACTGATTGGATGTTTAAGGGTCATCCTAGCATGCTTAGGTGTATAGTTAAAAGTGATTACCAACGTTCTTGGGGGGAAACGGCTAACTGTGAGAACAAACACCTCTGAGTCTAAATGGTAAGTTTTAATCTATGAACAGTTAGCTTGAATGGCAGGTGTATAAAACAGTATCTCATAATGTGGAGTATATTTGGTATTCAAGATATTCGTATCAACGTTTTAGGTTGTCTCCGTCCACTAAACTTAGTAAGTGGTGCACATTTGAGTAATTCGTGCAACACTCAAGAAGTAGGTGATCTATCCAGGTTGTGTTTATTCGAATGGACCTACTCCTGCCCTGTAACAACTATTCTAGCGACCTCACTTCAAAGTGGGTAGATACTGGTCTCCAATCTGACTCTTACTGGGGCTCGTAAAAAGTGCCAGGATTGAAACTCCGGACATATGGCGTGCGAGCTGGGTGGGTTATCTCACCTGCTTGTGAGGAGTATCATTTTGGCACATCCAAGGATAGGTAATGCTGACAAAATCAAGTAAGAGCGAACGCTGCCCAGCTTTGCTTGCTTCGGTGTGGAGTGGACCAGAACGATACAGTGGGATGATGTAAGGGCTGCTTAAACGAAACTTGATGTGTATACGGATTCTGCACATCCCGAAACTTCTTGAACTTCTCTCAGCGTACTTAGTGCCCAGTCACAAGATACTAGGAAGGATTTTTGACCATCCGTGCAATTATTTCTTGACTGGGGACCTGAACCAAGAGACAGTTGAGTTCATCCTCACTGAGTCAACCGATTGCTTGGGGATTTTTACAGGTCATCCTGGATCAGCTTTTGCTTGAAGAATTTTGTTCTCGACTGAACACTTGGGTTTTGCGCCATTGTTGTATGTGCATCAAAAAATAGGCTCATGTAGCGACAGCGTTTACAACACTTGATTCGTTTTAACTTTAGAATGTGTTTGGAGTGAGTTGAATGACATGTATCATTGTGTCTGGAACTGTTTTGTCTGTCTGTTCCGTAGCTACAGGTAACGTCCTAGACCTGTCAAAAAGATATCGAATACCGGCTGACAGTTGAATGGGATAACATTCAAAGTGGATGAGGGTTGTTGATCATCTGATGATATGGGCAGCGCTGCTTCCCCATAACCATATAGAAATATCCTTGCCGGTTCAGGCACTCATGAACAAAAAAGACGGATGCATTCAGCTGATGAAGTGGGTCAAGAGTCAGACTGACTAAAGTGATCTGGTCGTGTTTTTTTCGCTATATGGATGAAGCACTGCTAGTACGACTAAATAGTTGTCATAATCCGCATGGACAAGTAAACAGGCTTTCAGTTATCGCCTGGTTACATCTTGTAAGCAATCAAGCACGACCGGACTTAGGTAAAGAATTATAGGGTAGCTTAGGTAGCTTTTGACTGGGACAATACATGACGTATTACGGCTTGATGCTTGCCAATTATTAAAGTGTTCTTTTGTCAGATGAATGTAATTGGAGTTCGTTCGTGGTTGCTTAACTTACCAAGTAGACATGTAATGTCCGTGATCTAAGCTATCTGCATCTGTAGCTTCGTGCTGTCCACAAAGCTGTCATTCTCTCCAATCACTTGAGAAACCTTTGCAGTGAAGCGTGAACTATCCTTGCGCTACATATCCATATGGAGTGGGAATAGAGACAAGGCGGGTAGCCACGGGACCACACACAGTCTGACTGACAACGTCAGATAAAGCGGATTCATAGCATAGCTTTTACAACATTCAACTTGCAATAAACCTACCGTAATCGCTGTACTCATGCGTAATTCGTTGGTCATTGGCAACTGCAACTGCTGCGGCCGCGCCGTACCACGACGAGGCTGCTGAAACTACTGCCGCCGAGTTCAAATGTGCAGAATCCAATCCAACAGAATCCTGAGATGATCCAGCAGCCACTGCAGAAGAGTCGTTATTGGAACTAGTTCCATTGTTACCGGAGGAAGAGGGACCGGTTCCATTTACCCCTATTCCATTGGTCATAACGGCCATATGCTCATCCAAGGATGCTGATTGCCCGGGCCAGAAAAGAGCACTCACTCGGCTTCCATAACCAGCTGACATATGGGAGAGTAAAGAATGGCTTTCGGATGCCATTTGGGAGACGTCTGTGTGTAGATCGGGATGTGTGAGTTTCAGGACACCACGTGTTGCGCTACTGTCGTTCATTGAGAAGCCATGGGTCCTAAATGGGGGGAGATGTACTTTTCTCATTAATGATAATACAAGGAGGGTGACACATGCCATGAAAGCTTGAGTTAGAGTCATATAAGTTTAGAGTCACCGTTTGAAGTAAACCATTTTTGGGGTAGGTGCTAACTCAGCTCTTGTAACTCCAGTTGACGTGTAGTGTTAAAAGAAACAAGTATCGAGGTTTTGCCACGAGACTGGCCAAACATTTACTTTGAATATCTCTTGACTTGGAGGTCATCATTCACGACACTGCTATTGGAAACATGGAACGTACGAGTGCCTACCAGAAAGTTTTTATATTGCGAACCTACTCCTGTAGAAGGCAAGCTACTTTGTAATATATAGGACTCCAAAAGCAAACTTTCTTTCCAAAAATAGGCAGATTTATTATGTTTTCTTATGCAGTGGAAAATGGGTTTAGCTCACTCTATTCACACATAACGTGACAGAAAAATTGGGGGGTAGCAAAAATCGGAATGAAAACGGCGAGTGAGAATCTGAAGTATGCGGTGTACGGGAGGCCGATGTCTCGAATACAGCCTGAGCTAGGTTGGGATGAAACGCATCTTAATTGGTAATACAACTTCATATTGCTCATACTGTATCTTCTTCACTGACTGAAAGCAGCATGAGCCATACAGTACTCCCCTAAATCTATCGCACAACATGCTGAATCGATTATTACATTAGCGTATTTGGCACCAATCCTACTTGTATCACATGATTAGGTGTAATCGCTAATAAACTCATTCGTCAGGATCACTGTTTACCACCCAGGCTCGCCTGTGTACCTGATGCTTTTCATGTGGTACACCTGTGTATCGAAAATGGGCGGGTAAAGCAAATTTCCCAAACTGATCGCGACAAAATCCAAAAGCCACATACCTTCAGCATGCTGTGGCGTTTACTGTTGTTCTGAAGTGCAACCAATCCGCACTTTCAGTATATTGGAACATCTTTGTTTTTCCACACTAGAACTTTGATGCAAACTGGGCAAGAGAGCAAGTGATTTTACTCGTTTCATTGATAAGTTCTCGATGGAATCACTCAAAAGCGATATCATACTTACAACTAAGAATTCGTCCTGTCAGTGAAGCCAGTCTTTGCTCAAAGGACAAGAGGCATTGTACAGCCTTTCCATTCTTATTAGAAATCGTCAGGAGAGTACAGCTCACGAAAATCAGGGCCCCATGCTGTTAGGCCGCTCGTGTCAGACGATTAAATGTTCAACCGCAAACCAGAAGGTCACGGGTTCAAAACTCTCTGAGGTCCGTGTTATGTCTACCTGGTTGTACTTGGGGTGGAAAAAACTCCAATGCCTCTAATCAATCCGCATCAAAGCTAGAGGCCACTTTGAACACATTTCACTATGGAATGTCACTGAGCAGCTTCTCATGACAACTGTTAGCAAACAGGTCACAACTTGCAGGGTATTCGTTTTTTACAGCACGCACTCCAGTCGTTTTTTCAGGTTGGTAATGACATGAACGTGAGGACTCTGTCATTCTCGCACTGTGATTGCTGAATATCATCAGCAGTACAAATTGGTAGGCATATGCCGATTGGATAATGATATAAGGAGATTAGGTCACTTATTTGCAAGTCGTTTTGGTTTTCACGCGAGACTCAATTGAATCTCTTGTTTTTTATGATGTCCTCCAGCTGAATGTGCTGCACACAGGTCGCCTCATGATTCAGTTGGCACGATATTCGAGAAACCGCAGTATATTTTCATAAAGGAAACTACTCACAATGTTGAAAAGTTTTCAGCAACCTTGGGAGTAGTTTCCTTTATGATTAGAGATTAGATCATATTAAGCAGAGACTTCGTCCTGTCAGTGAAGTTAATCCATGATAGATAGCCGACAGGCACTGTTCAGCTGATTCATCCTTGTTGGGAATCATCAGCAGTGCGCATTCTACGAAACTCAGAGGGTTTCGAACCCGTGACCTTGCGACCAGTGGTTGAACATTTAACCATTTGGCGAAGAGTGTCTGATCAGCAGTGGGAGTAGCTATCACTAAGATAGGACATAGCGCCACTCATTTCTGACTAACGGAAAACCTCATCACGGGGCCACGAAGTGACTGGCTTCTCGAGTGACGGCTTCTCAGAAGGAAGTTTCACAATCCCATGAGATACTCCTTCCTCTGATGTACTTGTATTTCCACGATAATATGAAGAGCTCTGGTCGTATTTAGTAGAGATTTCATCCTGTCATTGAAGCCAATCAACTACTGGTAGCGGGTTCGAGACTCTGAGTTTCGTGAGATGCGAACATCTGATGTTTCTTAACAAGCATGAAGCAGCTTTTTAGTGCTCCTCGGCTTTTCGGCATTGACAAGATTCACTGACAGAATGAAATCTCTACTGAACCTACAAACATATTTTCATGTTGAATCCTATTGCCGGGCTGACTGGTTCCCTACTTGGGTATCTGGAAGTACAAACCTGGTCTGTATCAGCCGGATTGTCAGTTTTCAACACCAAGTCTGTGGTACAGTTCTTAAGTTACCTGGCTTCCATTATTTCCTTTTCTACCTAATATTGAAGCGTGAAGGTAGTGTCGGATACTTCAGAACATTCATTTTTATCGTTTACTCGTTTTTAAGCTGTATCACACAATTCATTCTCGATGGGTTTGCTCGATATGAGGCAGAATATATTCAGCCTATTAACGTGTTGGAGATTTGAAGAAAGCAGCCTCATATTTAGTCCTCTCTACCAAGTGCAACACACTGACACAAGAATCCGATACTGGGCACCGTTTCCTGTGCTGAAGCCAGCAGTCCCCGTTTTTTTATCCCAGACAGTGTTTTTACTACTTCAGATATCTTCATCTGTTCGTCCACGACTGATCAGTTTCCTTGGAATTCCTGGGATCAAAATATCCAGCAGCTTCTGCGAAATTTCAGAGTAAATGAAACACACATTGTCACCCAGCTGCAGCAATTGAGCCAACAACAATTTGGTTCAGTCTAAATGGATGCCTTAGTGATAAACACTTTGAAGATTTAAACAGCTTTTATCGCACCATGGAGTTATAGTTAGAACTGGAAGGGCCCGTATCTCTCCGTCAGAGTATACCGTAACCTCAGTCATGCAGAGATATAGGGACAGAAGTGGTGATGATATTGGTGTGTTTCACTCGCTTCCTATTCCAACCAGCACATCGGTTTGATCTGATCCAAACGAGCCCAAACTAACCAGAGGAGCAAGTTTGGCTGAAGCACGGAACTGATAAGGTCGCACCCAGTATCTGCAAACTCACCCTTCCTTTCTAACGGATTTATTTCTGAACTGCTCCCCTCAATGCGGTGAGAGGCTAGATTCCATAAAAGTTTATTACACGAAAATAGCGTCTCGATTGATCAGGTATGAAACCAGCGGACGAGCGTTCCGGTCAAAAAAAACTTCCTCCAGATAGACAAGTGTTCACGATAGTCTAGGTCGATGGGGTAGGGTTTCCGCAATCTTATGCTACTCGTCAGCCAGCTTAGGTTCAAGCTAAAGTCTGTGGATTTTATCAGTCTCGTTGGACAAGGTTTCAGAATTCTGGGGAACATTCAATCGGAAAATCTCGTAAGCGCATATTTTTCAGATAACTATGTGAAAGGAATTATCTCTGGGTTTTCTCGTCATAAACATGAGCGTTTCAACCACATTCTCTGGGGTTTAGCTGCGTTCGACGCCTTGAATACTAGCTAGCCCATTTACCAGTATAAAACGGGGTATCGAGGGTGAAAATCGATACTCCTGTATGGTTCTAACTGTAGAGTTTTGAATGCCGCTTATTCACCGTCACCAGGCTCTCACTGGGGTTATGTGTTCAGCTTTTGAGAATTGCTAAAATGTTGCTTACTTTTATTGGTAAAAACAGCAGTCAAACGTCGTCTATACTAAGTTGCACTTGGTTGTAGTTTTGCATTCTCACAATAGGATTCTCAAGTTCACTTCACTTTAGGGTTTTTTTAAAGAAAGCTCTATGTATTGGCAATAGTGAGATTACTCATATATTCCTGTGGGCAATGTGTTTTTATTTGAGAATCGAGCTCTTTCAAGCCCATAAAGTAAGCACCCACACAGAACAATCGTTAGGTCCAAAGGTCCTAATCAATACTGGAATACCCAGCATGTCGTTTTGACCAGAGACGGCTTTTGGTTAGTGAATACAACCAACCTGATAATTCCGTTTCCTGTCAGTTTTCATCTACTCTTCTTAAATCCCTCTCCAATAGATGACAATAATGACTCCCAGCTGCCATTTAGAAAATATCGCGAAAAAAACATTTGATCATGGTTCAAGTCAGTTATTTATCTACATGTGTAGTCGGCGCATAGTAACATAGTAGGCAGCTTTATATACCATACTGTCTCCGAAGAGAAAACAACGGAAAGTATTTACATTTCCTGGTGAGGGGGAATCATTCGGGAGTAATGTTTCGTATACCGTTTTAGGACACCCTCATCGGAATCTTCTTTCCTGTCCAAACTCATCTCGTTCTAATTTGTTTTGCAAATTAAAAACAATGTTTGAATGCTACAAAGATCCGCGTTACCTCCGAGTATTGCCGAAGAATCTCCCCTTAATGTAACTGACACTCAAAAACCAGCGTGAACCAGTGCTTAAATCACTATACCTGGTAACAAATCAAGATCACTGGAACGGCAATTACTGTTGCTAAGACCAAAGTGTAGCTAAACAGCTCTGCTTTCTGGTCAGAAACATCACTTGCGAAAATTTGACTGGGAACTTTCCGTGAAATGGCAGCAAAGGGAAAGCAAACACAGTGGATACGAAGTACATTCAGATCATGCCTTCCTTCTTGGGGCTCACATGATTCTCCTCGCAGATGGCCTGAAGCCTTATAGAACGAAATGTAACTTATCAAGGTGTCTAGTGGACTGCAATGTTACCAACTGTTTGTCTTCGTTCGCTGGCCCGGGTGGAATGAGGCTCTCAGAGGACGCTTTA